TTTTGTGCATTTTTATCTAATAAAAGTATAATTTGAAATATATGCAAATGTAGTTTGTAAATGTGTATGTATGTGATATTCCACAATTTGTATATGGATATACTTGAATCTTTATTTTTAAAACAATATCAATGGAAATAAAATGTTTAGCAAAAACACTTTCTTAGTTTCTATGACTGAGGCCGGACTACTGGGGACCATCACTGACAGACTTATATTTGCGACGACCCCTCGTCTTAAACACACATGGTGGGGATTAACTGTTTGCCGGCTGCCGGACAAGTAGGATATCACCAGCTGTATATAGTAGACTGACTTAGTGCTTGTGTTAGTATAGAAGCTTGCCCTCTAAAAGCAAGACAAAAGAATACTCTCGACCCTCACAATAAACAAAAGAACTTACCAGCCCAAGTTCAGCTTGGAGCAATCAGGCTGTAAACTTGTACGGTACATGATCTAATAAAATACACCAATTACACTGTCTAAAACCAATACCATATATATACAGATAAATTATAAAAATAACACTGCCACACATGTACAGGCAAACACGGAGTTGCATAATATACAGAATTATTCAACTGTAGAACAACTGTATTACATGGACGTATTCACAGTTCTGCACTGTACAGTACTACACTTTCATGGTTGCAGGTTAAAGAGGATAGATAAACAATACCCCCAAATAAACAGGCAATACCACCAACATGTTTAAAATAACAAACACTGAATCAATTCTTGAGTGATGAACCTCATGTAAATAATGGGAAAAGTTGCCTTCACAGTTCATCATTCTATGAATGGAGACTATATCCTCCCTATCCACAATAACACTACCTTTATCTTTCGTGACATCAGTGAAGATTTGCAAGGGGTTTTCATTGTTGGTTTCCAGGAGATCAAGTTCTTTAATGTTACTTTTCCAGAAAAATGCTCATTCTGATATGCATGTGTCATGGCCAAATTTGACTATGCAGATATCTGGTCATATTTTGAAGACATATCCGTAATCAAAGCTGTTTTTCTTCAAGTTGTGCTGCTACTTTAGTGTTTCACTTTGCAGCTCAAGAATGTCACTTTTCAGACGATCAACTTCTAGTTCAGAGAGAATCGCTTCTATTATTTCTTGTTTAATGGTGACACGGAGAGATTTGATGGCGTTATCTGCAGTTGATGAGATCAATTCCTTTAGTTACGATTTCTTTGGCATCTTGGCTAATATATACTCACATGCAAAAGAAACGCAAGTAGAGTATGCAGTATACAAGTTATTTATTTTCAACAGTAAAGACAAGAAATACTAATAGGGCAAGATTGACAAAAATTTGACTGAAGACAGTTTAATGGATTAAGGGCTTACACAGTTTCGGGTCAATACCCAAAATGTCAGTCAATACCTGGTGTGACCACCATTAGCATTGATCACTGCCACATATCTCCTGTACATTGAGTGGATCAGACGATTTGTGAAGGTCCTAGGGATCCTCCTGCACACATCCAGAGCAGCTGTGCGTAGTTCATCGGCAGTTGTAGGGACTGGGCACACATTGTGCAGACGCCTTTGAACCTCATCCCATAAGTGTTCGATGGGGTTCAGATCAGGGCTGAGGGCTGGCCATGGTAGAACACGGATGTTGTGTTGTTGCAGAAAGGCCATGGTAGCTGTGGCAACATGGGGACGAGCGTTGTCCTGCTGGAAAATGTGTTGTTGATGTGCAAAAAATTGAACAACGTGGGGTCTGATCACTTGGTCGATATACCGCTGAGCAGTGACGCTGTGTCCCCGACCTTGACCAACATTCAGAAAGCACATGGGTCCAAGTCTCGCATTAAGTCCAATCCCTGCCCATATCATGACGATAGGTTCACCCCATGGATCCTTTTCCACAACGTTTCTGTCAGCGAAACGATCACCTCGACGCCGCCAAATTTCTGACTCTACCGTCTGCATGGGAGACACAAAAGCGACTTTCATCAGAGAAGATGACATGCCTCCACTCACGATGACGCCAATTGCGATGACCCTGTGCTCACTGAAGACGTGCTTGTCGATGCTGTGGTTGGAGAACTGGATCTGAGGTTGTTGGAATGGAGACATCGGATCACAGTGTCCCGGCTAATGTGTCGATTACGTGTTCCTATGGTCTGTCGAGCACTTTTACTTGCAGTTAGGAACGGATGTCGCTGGTGTTGACGGGTAATCTGCCGATCTTGTCGAGGTGTGGTGACCCAGGGACGACCGCTCCGAGGAAGGTCATCTGTGGTCTGTGTAGCACTGTATCGATGCAGGAGACGGTAAATTGTGGTTATGTTAACATTGAAATGCGGGCAACATCTTGGACAGAGTCTCCAGCTTCCAAACGTCCGATAGACTGGTTTCTCTGAATTTGAGTTAGGCATGGCATTGTTGACCAAGGAGTGGTAGGTCCAAGAATAGGCCACAGTTTTATACCCACTACAGTTCGTGCATTTTCGATTTTCGCGAGAAATGGGTGCATGATACCCACATATTCATTGAAATGGTGTGTTTTGGCGATTCATTTTTTATGTTGCGTTTTTACTCGGGGCTTCCAAAATGCAACCAAAATTATTGATAACACCATCAGGCTTCACTACATGCTAAAACTTGTATCAATTTATGGTTCCGTGTTTGTTACCTATTTGCTTAAAACCACTTGCGTTTCTTTTGCGTGTGAGTATATTTTGAATCTCTGAGGGTTTGTCAGTGATTTTGGTAATTTCAGATTTTGGGGGGTGTATACAGGCGAGAGTGTCACACAGTACTCACAATTCACGACCTGACCATTGACCTGTTACTGTTGATAACTGCTATTTTCGACCCGTGAAGATTTCGGGGTAGAATAGGTCTTCAGCAACCCATGCTTGCCGTAAAGGGTGACTATGCTTGTCGTAAAAGGCGACTAACGTGATCGGTTGGTCAGGCTCGCTGACTTGGTTAATGCATGTCATCGATCCCAATTGCGTGGATCGATGCTCATGATATTAATCACTGGATTGTCTGGTCCAGACTCGATTATTTACAGACCGCCGTCATATAGCTGGAATATTGCTGAGTGCGGCGTTAAACAACAAACCAACCAACCAACCAACCAACTGCTATTTTCAGATTTCACATGGTGTTATCTCAACAATGGTAGAAATAATTTTCAAGAAATTTTGCTCTAATAGTTCTGTAAGGTTTACCTTACATCTCTTGTATACCGGTATACAGAATCTTGTAGAAATATCTTATCGTTATTTACAGAGCATTTGTGTGTGTGTGTGTGTGTGTGTGTGTGTGTGTGTGTGTGTGTGAGTGAGTGAGAGAAATATGATATATATTTATGGAAAATAAATCTTTTAAAATATATTACCACTCAACTAAATTTCAGATTTATAATCCATCTACACCAATCCTCCTGGTAATATGCAAATAGAGCAAACTTAATACATCATTGTATCATTGTTAAAGTGCTAGTTCTGTAAGTGGATTGTGGATTGCACATATGTTAGTGCTGGCTGGTATATATTAAATTAATACCCCAGAGCAATGTCTGACAAAGTCATATTTATAGATATCATTTTAATAGAAGCTAGCACTTGGTACACATGACAAACCTTGAATACCATAATAAATATGAATGACCTGAGCCAGTTCAGCTATCTCTCCAGTATATGTCGACTTTACAAATTCTAATATTTCAGTACAACTTATATTTTATTAATTTCTATGACAATGACTTATGTTTGGTGTGTTCACTGGATCATTGGACCCGTGAAGATTCCGGGGTAGAATTGGTCTTCAGCATCCCATACTTGCCGTAAAAGGTGACTATGCTTGTCGTAAAAGGCAACTAACGGGATCTGGTGGTCAGGCTCGCTGACTTGGTTCATACATGTCATTGATCCAAATTGCGTGGATCGATGCTCATGATGTCAATCACTGGATTGTCTGGTCCAGACTCGATTATTTTACAGACCGCCATCATATAGCTGGAAAATTGCTGAGTGCTGCGTTAAACAGCAAACAAACAAGCAAAAACTTGATCATTAACTACATGTGACTTGGTTTGTATCAAATTTGTAAATATCTCATGTGAACTGAAATGTCCTCAACACAATATACCATAATGAAAGTTTAGTAGGTATGTGAATAATTTGTTGTGAAATCGATCATTAGTTAATTACTTTTACACACTTTTCAACTCTTGGTTCATTATACAAAGGGATTTTACACGAAATGTCATTTTGGAAAGCTAGGTCAAGTTATAGCTCAAATCAATCAATCTCTTTAAAATCAGATCTTAGTTCTCGCTACCGCTAAACAAAGATCTGAGGACATCCCATTACGGGTCACGTCAGTGAAACTGACAATGTACATTCTTCCTCAGTGTTAAACAAACACATGTTGCCAAAAATTAATTTATATACTTGGGATTATTTTGAAATTGACTGTTTTCTGTCGAGAGGGGGATGAGCAATCTTGTAGGTTACAGAACAATGCAAGTGATGGCGAATGGTCTTATTACATGAGAATAGATGATGAAAAGTGGAATATTACTTTAACAAATGTTAGAAGACTAGATGAAAAGTGGATTATCACTTGAACACCATTTTTATGCAGACATGCTCAACAATCAAAGTTCAGGTGCGAGTTGTTGTGGGGTATTTGTTAACTTTTGTGTTGTCATTTTTAGCTCATTTGACTCTTGCTGTCTTTTCTGAAATGCTAAACTGTTGATTAATTATCCTGGTGAGATATGTCTTCAAACCACAGGTGCAAATAACTTTGTAATTGTCGTACTTAGAGACTGGTGATTTTCTCTTTTGTCTGCCCTTGGTATGAATTTTCCAAAACCAAAAATGCATTGAACTTTCGGAGTATGAAACTTTCAGTTTTAACTCCCATACTTCATGGGACAGAGGTTGGTCATGTGATTTCCCAAGCCAGAAGTGATGTGACATGAGGTCTATTTCTATGACTAGAATTTCTGTTTCAGTGTGCTGACCACAGTGATGGATGGTAACCTGCTCATGCTACGTATGATGCTTCAGACTCCACAGGCTCTGGAACAGAAAGATCTTAATCATAGTATCATCTATTCTGCTAAACATGGGCTTCTTCAATGTGCGTCTTATCTTGTTGATGCAGGTTGGTCGGAAAATATATAACTTTTGTGTTAATACAATCTCTTTTTGCCTTTTCCCTGCTTGGAAATTCTTGTTGGTAAATCTTACTGACCTCACTCTAAAATAAATTTTGTCTGTGGTGGACTGGCAGTCCATGAAAATTGCAAGCAGCATGAGGATTTGTAATGACTAAGGGCAACCTTACGCAAGTTAATCAACAGTATGCCATCAGGGTGTCGTGCATGTTTCGCCCAATATGGTAGACACACCAAAAATTGATCTACACGCCTGAAATTAATTTTACAGGCATTTATTGTCATTATGCCTTCTCTAACATTCATCAGTGCCCTTATCATCTCCCGCCATGAAGTGGAAGGGGGATATAGGAATGGGTGCCGTCCTTCCATCCGTCCGTCCGTCCGTCACATTTCGTTTCCGGAGCAGATCTTGAAAACCGTACCATATTTCTTCACCAAACTTAGCACATAGATAGGTCTAGTGGTGAACTGGTGCCTTTTGATAGTTTGCAATTTAAAAAAAATAATTTTTTCAAGTTTCCATGGCAACGACTTTGACTTGGACTGAAAATGGCGGTAGTCCTCATTTCCGTGCAGATCTTGAAAACTGTACCATATTTCTTCACCAAACTTGGTACATAATGTCATCTCGCAGTATTGAATACATTTCCTTTCTTGTTGGTGAGTTCTGCATTGCTTGTGTGTATGTTCCTCCAAAACTGTCATGGACACGGTTGTTGCATTCACTGGCTAACTTCATGCAGAAACACAACTCATTACAAATACAACAGTGTAACTGATCTTAAACCTACTCAACTGTAAAAACACTGCCTCCTATCCTGTATATATTTTTGTCAACCATACTCTGTACTTCACTTGCTTGATAACGGTGTTGGAACCTACACCGAAATTATCGCTCCTAATTGTAATAAAGAAGTTGTTCGTCCATATGTCTCATCCTTATTCATTACAAATACAGTTACATATTCTATCATTATCTGCAGATGGCAAAACAACACCAGTAATAACTTTTTTTAGTGCTGCAATTAGTCCATTTACAAAAAGGCCCATTGAACATAGTTCACAGGAGCTAATGCATTGCACACAACCGGACATGTCATATTGGCGGGGGATATGAGTATTTCATGCTTGTTTTTCTTGGTAGTGTAAAGGGTCTTGGTAAAGCTTATTCAGGCCTTCTTCTTTTGTTTAAACACTCTTTTTACTTTTGATGTGATGTAGGGTGATTTCAAGATTTGAATATTGTACCAATGGTGCGAGATGCCAGACATACCTTTTGTGACAATATTTATGAAATCTACTGTCTTTTTCCACCACATATAGTTCCTCCTTCAGCCAAAGCCACCTGTCAGATCATCTGTGCATATATTACGGTTCTGTTCTGATTCTCCAAAACGTTCCAAATGGCGTGGTGGTTTTTGTGGGGGAATTAGTCAGCAAAGAGCTGGAGTCACAAGAGACTAATTACAATTTTATTTACCAGAACAATGCACAATGCATGGTTTGGTATTTTCTTGCTCAACATTCCCTGACAGAACATTGACTGATTTATTGTCTTGTGCTGATTCCTTTTGGTTGAAGAACTTATGATGCTTCAATGGACGTTTACGTCGTTTTCCTGACAGATTTCTTTTGAGATGAAATTTTCTTCGAATGGAGTCTGGATTGCTGCTGCAATACTCCCATGTGTTTCCTCTTTCTGGATCCTTCCATTTCATTCTTTAGTAGATTTTGCTATTTGATCTCCTGGAAGAAAGAATTGAGTGGATGTCCTCTGGATTGAAAACCTGAGGGATATCCTTGGTTTTATTACCTTATGTTTCACACTGACTTAGAGATTGTACCTGGCTTGCTTCAATTTGTTGTCTGGATTTTGGCTGGTGATGCTTACTATTCAGGACTCCTCTTTTCCCCTTGTTTACCTTTTCATGCACCTTGGTTGGAGCACTAGGACCTGGTGCGACATTATTTGTCTTGGTAATTATTGTACTGGGACCTGCAGATTTTTCTGTTCTATTTGGAACAGGGTTTTTCTTCTTTGTTGGAGTCTTTTGTTGTGAATTCTTGTTGCTGGAAGTGCCTGCCTTGGTTTTAGAATTGTCCTTGTTACATTGCTGTCATGGTGGTGATTGATCAGTTGCTTGGTAAGTTGAGCTTGTTGATAGAGAATTGTTGCTGTCAAGCTGAGTATCATTGAGTGGTTCCTCATTGTCTTCCATGACTCCTGAATCTATGTTACTGTAGTCATTGAGGTATGGTATTGGAGGATACTGTGGATGATCAGCTGGATCAAAATATGGCTTCAGACAGTTGGCATGGACAAGCGGTGTGTGTATTTTGTTGTCAGAACTTTGGTGTAGTTTATAGGTGTAATTTGGACCTGTATGGATGATAAAATAGCTGCCATACCACTTTTTGGTTAATTTGTTGGAAAGGCCTTTTTCAACTTTTTGACAATATAGCCAAACTCTTTGACCTGGGGCAAATTCTGGCTCTTTAGCCTTTCGGTTATATTGTTTAGAATACACTTCCTTAGCTCGAGCAGTGTTTTCCGCTGCAATTGTTCTGGTGATTTCCAGCTCCTCAAACAAATTTGAAAGGTAACTTTTGTTATTGTGGCCTATATTTTCTTTTGGAATTAATGCTATACTTGTGGAGTTCTCATTTCTCAGCCAAAAAGCATAACATGTGGGAACTTTTGTGTTTATGAATTTTGGGCCATCCGATAGGCCATCATGATGTCAGGAATAAAACGGGGCCAATCATTTTGAGACTTGTTACAATAGGCTCTTAGTGACTGATTTATATAAGAATTGAGCCTTTCTACCCAGCTGTTTGTTTGAGGATGGTATGGGCTGGTATGTGTAAATTTAATTGCCAAAAGTTCACAAATCACTTTGATAAGTTTGGACATGAATTCTGACCTCTGTCTGAAATTAAGGTCCTTGGAGCGCCATACCAACAAAATATTTCTCTCACGAGGACATCTGCTACTTCTTTGGCTTCTTGGGTCCGAAATGGAAAGGCTTCACAGCATCTGGAGGCTGCATCTGTGATGACGAAAATGTACTTGTTCTTGTCTGGTGATGTTGACAGGGGACCGAGAATGTCAACGTGCCATCTGTTGACATACCTCACACGTCTGGACATAAGTGGCAATATTGCTGTACATTTTTGGCCTGTAGTACCTTGGTCTCATGGTGTTGTGCATCCTTTCTTTCTCCTGGTGGCAACCGCCAAACTCTGAGTCATGATAGGATTGCAGGACTTGATTTCTGAGGGTTCTTGGGACTGCCAGCTGTTTAATGAACTTGTCTGCATGACCCTTCTGTCTTTGTGGGACAAATCTGTACAGGTATTGGCTTCAATCACAATCTTTTGACAATCCTTTTCTGGAAGAACATCCTCCTCTTTGTAGTGAAAGATTTTGATAAAATCTGGACAAATCCTTTGTAGATGACTTAAGTTTGAATGTTCATATACACTTACCTCAACCATCATGTGTTTTGTAACATCAGCATTTGTAGCATGTAATGCTGCAACAACTTTAACTGGTACTGACTCTTCATAATCATAGGTGACTGACCAATGTGTTGTCTATGTGTCTGATTTTGAGTGATTATCAATAGGTGTGCAAATATCCTCAGTTGATTGTGTGACCTGTGAGGATGAATGTGTCCATTTGCTGTGTTGTAGTTACTGAGAAGACTGTTTTCTCGGCATCTTCTTCAGTTTGATCATTACAAGTAATATTTTCCTCATATTACCTATGTGAGAGAGCATCAGCATTCCCACTGGCTTGGTCGCTGCGATGAACAATGTCAAAAGTGTAGGTAGAAGAGCTCTACCACTAAAAGCTGTAGGATGTTCATTTTTTTCTCATCTTTTTTACTCAAAACAAAACCTATGCTCATATCACTGGCATCAGTTGCAGGAAGAAATTCCTTGTCAAAATTTGGATATGCCAGAATAGGGGTATAACTGTATATGACCTTAGAAAAGCCGAGTTTTGAGGACCAGAAAAAAGGTTCTGTAAAAAGGGGTCGGCTTATGTATGGGTTACACTTTCGTCAAACTCTTTTTCTGTTGGTAAAAAAACAAAGTGACCACTGGAACTTTGGTTTCTTTCCTTCTTCTGCCTCTGAATGCTTCTTTAGCAAAGTTTTCAGTGGAAGCGCTATGTTAGAGTAATTTTTCACATACTTTCTGAGTAAGTTTGTGAGGCCTAAGAAATAGCAAATCTGCTTTTGTGATTTGGGTACCGGGAAGGTTTTAATTGCTCCAATCTTTGTCATCAACTTGAACACCTCCACATGATAAAACATGACCCAGAAAAGAAACTTTGTCTGTTGCAAAGTTGCATTTGGATGGCTTTAGTATTAATTTTGCCTGTTTGAGATAGTAAAATACTTGCTCCAAATATTGGAGAAGATCTTCAAAGTTTTTGCTGTAAATTGACAAATCATCAATGTAAATCAGTCCAACCTTAAAAAGCAACTTTTTTAGCACTTTGCTGATGAGCTGCTGAAAAAAAGTGGGGAATTTGACAAACCTCAAGGCAAATGTTTGAACTGATGAAGGCCTTATGGGTGACAAAGCAGTTTTGTGCTTTGAATCTTCATGTAGTGGAACCAGGAAAAAGCCATCAGCAAGGTCTGAAGTGGAGAAGATCTGAGCTTGGGCATTGGCGATGTGATCAACAGCAGCATCAAAAACAGGAAGAGGACATGGTAAAGTGACAGAATTCAACTTTCTGTAGTCAGAAAAAAGTCCAGAAGTGGACTCCTCGATCAAATCATATTTCAGAAAATCATCTACAAGTTCTTCAGTGACTTTTTGGAGATGAGGAGATTGGCGAATTGGTCTGCACTTAACGGGTGGATGGTTGCCAGTGTCAATTATGTGTTGGTGCATGTCAGTCTTTCCTAAATCTGCAAGACTCATTAAGAACATGTCTCTGTTTTGTCCCAAAAATCTGAGTAGT